ATGGTATGTATGGGTTCCAATAACCATAAATCAATAGCTATATTGATGGATATTGATGGATATTGATGGATATTGATGGATATGTGGTGTATAACCCCCTATAAACCATATAGTTATAACATGTTATAACTTATAGTTATTATTAACCCTTTGTTTTTTAAACCATATAGTTATCATATAAACCATAGTGAAGTTGGAGTTATGAACGGACCAACTTAGCCAACGATCAGCTCACGCACCACCGGCACCCCATCCCCAAACTCCTGGGCTTCCCAGACCACAACTTCCATGGTCGCACCTGGCCCACGTTTCCCACAAAGTTTTGGCAAGACGAAATTGGTATAGTGAGATATGACAGGTATAGAATTCATGGTGGGATATACCTCTTAGATCCCATTATATACCAGATTTCATGATGGGAATCTAATATAACAGGTATATATCCCACTCTATATCCCAGTATATAACAGGGATATAAGAGGTATATCTAAATCTCAGTATATAGGTATATATCTCTATTAAATCCATTGGTATTTCATTGATTTTGTGGGATAAACCAAGGGATTCAAAAGGATTTCATAGGGATATAGTGGGATAGTTCACCAAGAATTCAGTCTTGGGAATGATTTTGCCTTTTATCTGTTTGGTGGTTAATATATGGTTAATATATGGTTAATATATAGTTAATATATGGTTAATATACTGTTAATATATGATTAATATATGGTTATTGTATGGTTAATGATGGTTAATAATAATCTGCTTGGTGGTGTACCTACCCCTCTGAAAAATATGAAAGTCAGTTGGGGTTATTATTCCCATATATGGAAAACATGTTCCAAACCACCAGCCAGTTGTTGCAATCATAACGATGGTTTGATGGTGTTACAAATCAACTTAGCGATGAAGGTCCATACTCTCCGGTAATTTGAGAAAGCTGCGGGCCAAATGGCAATGCGTATAGATGATTCACCTATAAAACATGCTGATTTCCATAGCTATATATGTTACATTACCAGAGCGTAAGCAAAACAGGGTTCAGAGGTCAGATTTAACCAACAGAAACATGATTTAATCCAAGATGAGTGAAACATACCGGGGCATACCCCAGGTACCTTTCCCCCCAAAAAAAGGTGAAATCTCTCCCCCATGATGTAAATCATTGTATATCATTATATCCCCAGCCCCCCAAAAAATGACTGGTTCTCCTGGACCCCTATCCGACCGCTCTCCCTATGCGATCAGTACACTCCCCCACATCCAGAAATCCCAGCCTTTAGCGATCAGGGTCAGGGGTCATGAAGCGCCGTGGGTTACGGATCTTCTGAAACGGTGGGCTCTGAAGCAGGTAGAAACGTTGGCAGCTTGAAACTTGGCGTTTGATCGAAGCCGAAGAAGTTAGAGTATTATAATAACTATAACCATATATGTATATATATAATGTGTATATATATATATGGGATGATCAAAATCTATTGATCATTGAAGTAGGATATGAGAAGATATTCCAAACTGTGGCTGATGGACCAAACTCCAAATTCTGGAGGCGTACTATTCTGAGGACTACTGTCCACACAGCTCACTAAGTCTGAAAAGCAGTGCGCAGCCTTGAAATCCTGTGTTGAGTTGCAAGTTATCTGGCGGAGGCTATGGCTTTCAACGAAGCATATGTGAAACCACTACTGTATATAACTCAGTTCATTGGTTCTGTACTCCTTGTCACCCATTTCGCTAATCACCACTCTAAAAATGGCGCCATTCTAAAATCCCGGAAGAGTAGGGATGAGAAATACGATTGCTAGTCGAAAAGTCGGAGACAAATGATTGTGCTTGATTATTCAAGTGTGTCATCACCGGCTTTTCACCATGACCCAGCCGGTTCCGAGGCAATTTTGAGCCAACACAAGGTGAGGCCTCCGATTAGAACTTGCTTTAAAAACCATTTCAGTATAGTACAGTATAGTTCTACTATGTTCTACTCCCCAGAAAGCCTAGTTAACCCTAGCTAACCATAGTGCGTCATTGTGCGTGAAAAGCTATCATAAACCGGGGCCCCCACCGTGCCCCCAGGTGGGTGTTTAAGCTTCCATGGATCACCTCATGGGAACTCATGGATGACTTAGCATTGAAACAACCACCAATGGCCATGACTCAGGAACCGATTGATTGGAGGTACCTACCATATATAAGGCCTATTTGTTAGGGCTATTTTTTAGGGAATATCCCCGCAATTCATATGGCCTGAAATATGGTACGTTTACGTAGCTCCATTTTAGGATCTTTTTTAATTCCCATTGAAACCATGGTGACTGAGGATCCCCCTCGACTCAACAACCCCCTTTTCCGAAATCATTTTTTTGGGTGGGCTGAAGCCCACCGAATGTCTTGGGGAGGTCCGTCTCTGGTGGTTGAGGAAACACATGATATCTTAATCTATGGCCAGAAATGAGCCATGTCATAGTAACAACCACTAATAAATGCTAATCATTTTAATCTAAGAAACGCATTTTTAAGACATATATCATTGTAGCATTTAAAGTCAATTCGTCGTCCTAAGATGTGTAACTGATTAATTAACATATCATATGCCCACAAACATGAGATGAAGTTATGACCAAGGCCTGATCATGTTGATTGACTTGATAAGAACCACAATAGGTCATACCCTCAATGGATTGTTTTAAGCGGACATTTACAGGAAACCCCACATTCAATAGGACAAGTCGCCTGTAGATTTTCCCTTAAACCAATCCATTGATATCCAGTTTCATGATTCTGCTTGTGATAAATCATACCTCTTGGGGGTTCTCTTTGAACCAGCTTCATCTCCCAACAAGTCAAGAAACGAACGCCAGCGTCTCGGATTTTGGTCATCTTAATTACCAAACTTTGATAACATGTCAACTATAGTTTCTGGCTAAATCAAACCTTGAAAACAACCAACAAGTCCTGGTGCAGTCCCCCAGTCCGCTATCTTTTGTCGGTTGCTGGCGGAAGATCTACCTACAGCAGGACCAGCAGAAAATTGGCTGCGTCGAAAACTGTACCAGTGACACGGGCGCACAGTGTCGGGATGTTGGCACTTCTCAAAGTGCGAACATCCAAAGTCGGCTGGATCTTCGAAAGGTTTGAATAACTAAGGCCAGTTTTATTGCTGATCACCCGAAATCATGATCTTTATTCCCATTTTTGTTTGGTTATAATGAAATAACAGCTCTATGGAGTTCTAAAATGATCTAACGCCCAAATCATCCACCTGAATCGGATTTTCCATGATAAACCAGCCGTTGGCCATCGGGGTACCCTTGTAGGAAACACCTCGTTCAACAGTTTCTAATTGGTGGTTGACCTACCCCCCTGAAAAATATGAGTTCGTCAGATTGGATCATCATCCCAACTATTGGGGAACATAAAAGCCATGTTCCAAACCACCAATCAGAATCACCATTAATTAATCACCATTAACCATTATTAGCCATTTTTAACCATTACCAGTAGTACCGCACAAGGCGGTGGCGGAAGTTTCAGAATAGGAAACCTATAGGAGAGCTTGGTTGTTGTGAATCAGGGATGGCAGAGCGAATCCACTGATTGATCGAAAGGTGGTTGGAGTTGTGTTTGCTGGAGTGGTTGCAATGGTTGCAGTGGTCAGCTCACCCACAACTGCTGGATGTAGTGTGATGTACTGCAACTGTAGTTGTAGTTGTAGCGTAGTGGAGTTGTAGTTGGAATGTAATTAGTGTAGTGTAGTTGCAGTCATATAGTTGTAGTTGTAGTTGTTTTGTAGTTGTAGTTGTTGTGTAGTTGTAGTTGTAGTTGTTGTAGTTGTAGTTGTACTTGTTGTTGTTGTAGTTGTAGCTGTAGTTGTTGTGTAGTTGTAGTTGTTGTGTAATGTAGTTGTAGTTGTTGTAGTTGTAGTTGTTGTAGTTGTTGTTGTTGTTGCTGTTGTTGTAGTTGCAGTTGTAGTTGTAGTAGCTGTTGTTGTTGTTGTAGCTGTAGTTGTTATAGTTCTAGTTGTAGTTGTAGTTGTAGTTGTAGTAGTTGTAGTTGTTGTTGTTGTTGTTGTTGTTGCTGTTGTTGTAGTTGCAGTTGTAGTTGTAGTTGTTGTTGTTGTAGCTGTAGTTGTTATAGTTCTAGTTGTAGTTGTTGTGTAGTTGTAGTTGTAGTTGTAGTTGTTGTGGTTGTGGTTGTGGTTGTGGTTGTTGTTGCTGTTGCTGTTGTCGTCGAAGTTAGGGTAGTTAAGTTAGTGAAGTTAGTTAAGTCAGTCAAGTTAGTTAAGTGAATCAGTGTCTACTTTTTCGACATCTTAACGTCAAAAAAGGCTCAAAACCCCCAGTTTTTTACACTTTTGACTTGGAAATGTGCTTCGCGCCACAACGGCGTGCACTTTTTCGACATCTCAACTTCCAAAAGTGGTCCGAGACCGTCAGTTTTTAACACTTTTGACTTCAAAATGTGCTTCGCGCCACAACGGCGTGCACTTTTTCGACATCGCAACTTCCAAAAGTGGTCCGAACCCCTGGTGTTTTGTACATTTTGACTTCAAAATGTGCTTCGCGACACAACGGCGTGCACTTTTTCGACATCTCAACTTCCAAAAGTGGTCTGAGATTGTCAGTTTTTTACACTTTTGACTTCGAAATGTGCTTCGCGCCACAACGGCGTGCGCTTTTTCATCTCTCATCTGGCCAGCTGGCTCCGCACCCGCCGCTTTAGCGAGCCTACTTTTCGACCCTCCGGAGCCCCAAATCATTGGAAAAACACAGTGTTTCGCGACTTTCCTACCTTTTCGCGCATCTGCATCTTCTTTCTTCGTAGTCTTTCTCTTCTACTCTTCTTTCTTCTAATCTTTCTCTTCTCTCTGCCTCTTCCCTGCTCTGCTTTTCATCTGTCCATCTTGTCGGAAGTTTGACTTCTAAACTTCCTTCGATTAACAATTATTAACTATGGAGAATCCCAATTTGCAATGGGTAAATCCACTATAAATCACCATTTTTTATTGGGATAACGTCGCGTCGCAGGATGCTCACAGGGAGGATCGCGTATCAGCCTGTGCCGCGATTGATGGATGAGTCACCGTAGGTTTGGATGGGATGAGTCACCACATATGACTGGGACCATTTTTTGGGGGGTGTTTCATATGGTGGAATTAATATGAACCACCCCATTTTGATATGTTTATTGGATATATTTGGATATATTTGGAAATATGGTGAGATATGGTGATATGGTGATATGGTGATATATCAGCCTGTGCCAAGCTATATGAAGATATATCTATCGTTTAATATGGTGAGCTTGGGAAATCACATGAAATTTGGAGATATTTGGATATCACTATCTGTATCTATTATCATATGACAAAACGTGTCTTCGTGTGGGTATATCTGTCCCATCAGGCTATGAAAACCACAAGTATATATCAATAAAATAAATGATGTATAGAAACACTGGATGATATACAACCACTACATAAAGGTCATACTATGTATATATATATATATATAAAATATCATGTATTGAATATATATATGTGTATATATATATATATCAATAAGTATATGTATATACATATATCATATTATCAATAGTGACAGCGAAATTATGAACTCAACTATTAACCAGTGGGGGCTTAATATGAAAGACGGATGGGATTCTTCATAAACAAATCACTAAGAGGGCCTTCTAAGGGAAGAGATTTCCACTTGGGGCTGCAAGTGGTTTATAGATCGTTGTACTGGTACTTTTCATGAAAGAGATGCTGCTAAAAAATGTGCTTTTCTTCTTATATTCTGGCAAGTTTGGCTGAAGTTTACAGGTGTTTATTGATCATCAATACTAACGTTGGGATCTAAGTCCCAAGTCGGCGGGAACTTCAATAGCAACTTCTTGCAATGACAGTGTCCTACTAACCCGAAAACATCTGGTTGGTGGTTTCAACCCTTCTGAAAAATATGAAAGTCAGTTGGGATGATTATTCCCAACTGAATGGAACAATAAAAAATGTTCCAAACAACCAACCAGACATTTTTTGGTGAGCAACCCCCAGGTCCATCGTTACTGTCCCATCCCTAGAAACCAGCCATGACTTGCCCTAACCAGAACTGACGTGAAACCATGAGAAGCCACAAATGGCGGATTTCAGATTTCAGCGAGAAAAATTGGAATTTGAAGCACTAGATCCATCAACTGCATGATCATTATGAATTACTGGCACCAAACACGTGCCCGAGTGATTTCAGTTGCTAAACAATCCAACTGTAGATATACCTACCATAAATCATGTATTTATCTAGTTAGTTACATCATTTTGAACCCCCCCAAAAGGTGAATCAACATGGATTTCATCGCTGCAAACAATCATCATTTGCAACAGAATCCAAGACTTCCGGCGGGTTAAACAGTCCATTTGGAGAATCCGATGCTTATGAGATATTAATCTAACCTACCGGCTTCCCGGTGCAAGTTTTCTGAGATGTTTAATCATATCTATCCTCCAAATCCAGAAACAAAAATCCACCAAACATCAATAAACATCAACATCAATCAAAATCCCCAAGAAATTGCCCTACCATCCCAGCCCATCCCAGCCCTACTACCCCGCGACAAAGATGGCGCCGTTTTCCCCGTGGTTTCGGCACCCGTCGACGGAGCATCTCCCGCAGGGCTGAGGTGCCACTGGAGGCCTTGGGAAAACTTGGGATTCTTTTTTGGATGACAGTGAGAATAGTAATATATATGTAATGATAATAGAAAATAGTATATATATATACATATATACATGTAGTAATAGTAATATCCGTATTATACATGTATGATAATTAATAGTAATCAAATGATATCAAATGTATATTATGGATAATAGTCTTATAAGCGATCATTGTAGATCATGTGTGCTTCATATGAAAGGGGAAAGCGATGAACAAATAAATTTCAGACGACGGGGAAATATTCTGGGATACCCTCTGGTTATTTAACATAGCCATGGTTATTATTGCCCATTTATAGATGGTTTACCTATTAAAAATGGGATTTTCCATGGCTATGTTAAATAACCAGATGGCAATAGTATGATAATAGTAATCACATGCCTGTATATGTCATAGAAGATAATCGATATATATAAATATATATGTATATATTATGATAATAATGTTATTTGTAGTAATCACATGTATATGGATCTAAATATATATATATATTGATACTAGAAGAAAATAGTAATGCAATATGTGATAATCATATGGAACAACTTATGATAATAATTTGGGGACATACTGACATACTATTACAAATTTGGGTATCACTATTGTCATCACTATTGTCATCACTATTGTCATAATAGTAATATAATGTAATATATCCCGATGTGATAATCGACTACACATTTCATGAGGTACAGTTTAATTCTGAAATATTAATGCATTATGGTATCTGGGATTAGTGCTTTTATTATGATCATATACGATACATCCCAGATGCTGAGACAATACATCCATGTAGTCAATGTAGTCCAATGATAATGGTGATGCCACAATTTCTGGATTATCATTGATCATAGTCATTGGACTAAGCGGTCATAGTCATACCTAAATATTACCATCTTGTTATTTAACATAGCCATGAAAATCCCTTATAGATGGACGTTTTAATGGGAAAATCATCTATACATGGGCCATTTTCCATGGCTATATTAAATAACCAGCGGGTATCCCAGAATATTTCCCCGTCGTCTTGAATTAATTGGTTCATCCCTTTCCCCGTTCATGTGAAGCACCCTCCACCATGGTTTCGTAGGGGGCCATAGAATGGGGGGTATTTTAAAGTAGGTGGACTCATATGGGGAATTATCTTTTTTGAAGGTCATAATCGAGATATACATGGGATTTCGGGGATAATAGAATGGGAGATTGTAAGATCATGTCACATGATATTGTGGATGACTTATGGCTCAATAGTGGATGCCTCAGACAACCTATGGAAACATGCTGGGGTCATATTTGATCATCGGAACATGATGGGATTTATGGTCTATTTTTCTGCCGTGCCCCTATTGGTAAATGTTTTTTTTATGTGTGGGCGGGGGTACGCTACCCTTTATATACATACAATGTACCCCTAGATAGCTATATAATTTGATTTACCAGTAGTACCGCACAAGGCGGCGGCGGAAGTTTCAAAAATAGGAAACCTATAGGAGAAGTTGGTTGTTGTGAATCAGGGATGGCAGAGCGAAGCCACTGATTGACCGAAAGGTGGTTGGAGTTGTGTTTGCTGGAATGGTTGCAATGGTTGCAGTGGTCCCCTCACCCACAACTGCCCTTGATGTAGTTTATGTACTGCCAACTGAAATTTGTAGTTGTAGCGTAGTGGAGTTGTATTGTGGTGGTAATGTATTGTGTTGTAGTTTGCATCATATAGTGTAGCTGTAGTTGTTTTTTGTAGTTTGTAAGTTTTAGTTGTTGTAGTTGTAGTTGTTGTGTGGTTGTGTTTGTTGTGTAGTGTCGTAGATATGTAGTTGTTGTTGTTGCTGTTGTTGTAGTAGTTGTTGTAGTTCTAGTTGCAGTTGTAGTTGTTGTGTAGTTGTTGTGGTTGTAGTTGTTGTAGTTGTAGTTGTTGTGGTTGGTGTTGTTGTTGTGGTTGGTGTTGTTGTTGTTGTTGTTGTTGTTGTTGTTGTTGTTGTTGTTGCTGTTGCTGTTGCTGTTGTCGTCGAAGTTAGGGTAGTTAAGTTAGTGAAGTTAGTTAAGTCAGTCAAGTTAGTTAAGTTAATCAGTGTCTACTTTTTCGACATCTTCACGTCAAAAAAGGCTCAAAACCCTCAGTTTTTTTAACACTTTTGACTTCGAAATGTGCTTCGCGCCACAACGGCGTGCACTTTTTCGACATCTGAACTTCAAAAAGTGGTCCGAAGCTGAGGTGTTTTGTACATTTTGACTTGGAAATGTGCTTCGCGCCACAACGGCGTGCACTTTTTCGACATCTCAACTTCCAAAAGTGGTCCGAAGCTGGTGTGTTTTGTACATTTTGACTTGGAAATGTGCTTCGCGCCACAACGGCGTGCACTTTTTCGACATCTCCACTTCCAAAAGTGGTCCGAAGCTGGTGTGTTTTGTACATTTTGACTTGGAAATGTGCTTCGCGCCACAACGGCGTGCACTTTTTCAACATCTCAACTGCCAAAAGTGGTCCGAAGCTGGTGTGTTTTGTAGATTTTGACTTGCAAATGTGCTTCGCGCCACAACGGCGTGCAATTTTTCATCTCTCATCTGGCCAGCTGGCTCCGCACCCGCCGCTTTATCGAGCCTATACTTTTCGACGTCACACCTCTCCGTCATCCCACCCACTCATTGGAAACAACACATTTTTTATTCGCGCCTTTCCTCCTATTCCTACCTGAGTCCTGCTAGTGCCTAGATTTCTCCTAGGGATCCCTCCCTTTATCTCTCCCTCTGTCCTTCTTCTGTTCTTTTTCTTCTTTCTTCTGATCTTTTCTCTTCTGCCTCTTCCCTGCTCTGCTTTTCATCTGTCCATATTGTCGGAAGTTTCACTTCTAAACTTCCTTCGATAACTCCCATGTTTCTTGGCTAAATCACATTCAATCACGATTAAATCAACATTAAATTCACCATTGAATCCCATTCGAGTTGCTTAAATCCATTTAGGATATGATTTCCCTTGCCATGGGTGGGCCCTTCCAAGACCTCTGAGCTTTCGACGTCCATGGCAGACTGAAAGTGCTTCAGCGTCACTGGTGGTACATCCTCGGACGAGCGTGGAAGCCATGCAGGGTCTTTCAACGCGACCAGCGTGGCATCCCACGAGTTTGGCGTGACAGACATACATGTGGACTGGTATGGTTTAAACACACACATATATATATATATAGAGAAGTTCATATAATGTTAAAATAAATATTACCGTGTATGTGTACACATATGTAGATTATTGTAGATGGGTATGTTCAGATATGTTCATACAATGTGGGCCCCCCAGTTATAAGTTGATTTATAAACCCCATTAACTAGACTATAGTTATAGGATGTTATGGCTATCACAAACCAAAGTTATGAGAGGTATAAACCAACTTAGCTATCGTTTGGGGGCTCCACATTGTACCATTGTACACTCACCATTTGTCATGCTGGTTGGTTGTGGTTGCTATTCCGCATATAACATGGGTTAGTTCACAATCCCTACAAAGTCAAGCGGAAATACACCCACTCTTTCGTAACCAGCAGTTGGGTATGTTTAATGGCTCATGTGGCAAAGATCGGGGAGTCAACCTACTGAAAGATTGGCTCGCTAGCTGACTGCAATCATACAGCTCAGCTGGGGTACTGAGGAGCTGTAACAGCCATGTCACATGCAGTTGGAATGCCACCGAGGCTGGGAACAAAGACGTCCGCAGGCGCTTTCCAAGGCCCGTTTCTTCTGGGCGCTGATGCAGGAGCAACCAAGCTTGCCCTCTCAGCCCACTTGTGGATTTGCCCCGCAGCCATCTTGGGTTTCGTCCATTGTGCGCAAGTAGCGCATTCCACCGAACCGCGCTTGATCCGGTTGCAAATATCACAAATCTGTGAGGCATCTACACTACTTTCGCACACCCTTATCCTGGCATTGCCGCTGAGAATGACCATTGACCAGTTTGACGGTTGCCTCAAAAATGTGTCGGAGTGGATTCATCAGAAGCTCTCGGATGACGCGGCAACACTGCATTAAATGCCCGCAGTTCGCTGAGCCCTGATCACGTCATGCAAACTCGCACTGACCGGCTATCGCAAGAGTTGGTTCATAGCCAAGTTGTAGCAGTTCGCTTCAAGAAGCAGGGAGATTTCACGAGCTACCACAATGGAAATGCATTTTGGCGTATTTGGCGTATTGAACATTGAGAACCAAGAATATGAGGTACTTGGTGTGCGGATCCACGAAGATTGAGTGCACAAGCCCTGTTTCGGCCAGATCAATCTGCCAATTGGAAAGCGAAAATGAAAGGCCAAGCGAGGCCAGAACCTTTGGTCAATGTTGGTATTTAGTATTGCCCCAATATTGACCCTAACAAATTTTTCACTGGTTGCTCCACTGGAAATGGCAGCAACCCTATTTTTGCTTTGCCAAAAAAAAGTGTCGTGAAATCAACAGCACGCAAATACGAACTACAAGGACGGGCGATGGCCGTATGGTTTCGTGCACTTTCATGTCAGTTTTGATACAAATCTATGAGTGGTGATATGGCAAATCCTCCACGCTGGCCATTCGAAATGCATGTGCAACTTCACATGTCCATGTTTATATCTTGGCGTGTCATATTTTGACGTCGAAAAAAACTACTTCAGTTGAGACACTTTCAAGTGTGTTTACTTCAGTGCATGACTTTTATTTTCATCCACCGCATGTTCGCCAAGTTTTCTTTAATCTGCAAAAAGTCGAGACAGTTGCTCGAGAACCTCGCTTGGATTCTTTCCCAAAAGTGCATGGTTTCTCATGACGTACCATCCCAGATGTGTTGAATTCCAAGAAAAGATCTCATGACGTACCATCCCAGATGTGTTGAATTCCAAGAAAAGATCTCATGACGTACCATCCCAGATGTGTTGAATTCCAAGAAAAGATCTCATGACGTACCATCCCAGATGTGTTGAATTCCAAGAAAAGATCTCATGACGTACCATCCCAGATGTGTTGAATTCCAAGAAAAGATCTCATGACGTACCATCCCAGATGTGTTGAATTCCAAGAAAAGATCTCATGACGTACCATCCCAAATGTGTTGAATTCCAACAAAAGATCTCATGACGTACCATCCCAGATGTGTTGAATTCCAAGAAAAGATCTCATGACGTACCATCCCAGATGTGTTGAATTCCAAGAAAAGATCTCATGACGTACCATCCCAGATGTGTTGAATTCCAAGAAAAGATCTCATGACGTACCATCCCAGATGTGTTGAATTCCAAGAAAAGATCTCATGACATACCATCCCAGATGTGTTGAATTCCAAGAAAAGATCTCATGACGTACCATCCCAGATGTGTTGAATTCCAAGAAAAGATCTCGTGACGTACCATCCCAGATGTGTTGAATTCCAAGAAAAGATCTCATGACGTACCATCCCAGATGTGTTGAATTCCAAGAAAAGATCTCATGACGTACCATCCCAGATGTGTTGAATTCCAAGAAAAGATCTCATGACGTACCATCCCAGATGTCTTGATTTCCAAGAAAAGATCTCATGACGTACCATCCCAGATGTGTTGAATTCCAAGCAAAGATCTCATGACGTACCATCCCAGATGTGTTGAATTCCAAGAGGAGATCTCATGACGTACCATCCCAGATGTGTTGAATTCCAAGAAAAGATCTCATGACGTACCATCCCAGATGTGTTGAATTCCAAGAAAAGATCTCATGACATAACATCCCAGATGTGTTCAAGTCCAAAGAACGTTATTACATCCCCCCCCCCCCCCCCACCCCCCACCCCCCCAACCAACACCACGCCAAAAAAAACAACAAAAAAAGACAAAAAAAGAGGTTTCGCTGAGGCGAAACACAATAAAAAAGGAAAAAATGCGCTCTCGCTGTGGCGCCAGTGCAGTGAACATGCAAAAACACTGTTTCGTGACGCGGCCTTCTGCGCGCGCCCAGCCAACTACAAAAAAGCAATCCGAATTCAGAATGTGGTAAACCCAATGCCGCAAGGCCTTCCATTAAGGGATGGTTTGCTAACTCGTAAAAATGTCAATAGTGCGGATGGTTTATGCTTTTGGGTTTGCCGAATTACTTCACATTTAACGTGATTACACTCCAATAATCAATCATGGCAAAAGAACATCCCTATAGAATCCCTATAGATGAAGGTTTTATTTGGAACATCATCTATGTGGTGTTCCATTGCAACGTTTGATTGCCGGAGGGTTTCTACGCTTCTTGAGTAATCTGATTAGTAGTCCGTCTTTGATTGCTTGAGTTTCTTTCTACCAACAATGGTACCAGTAGTTGTCATCCCATGGAGGTCACCACAGGAAGCCCCACTAAATCCCGGGGCAGTTGTGCCCTTCAAAGACCAGATACCCATAGGATCCATGTATGGTATATACGCTAACATTGGAGGTATATCGATGGTAAATGTTACCAAATATAGCATACATGGATCCTATGAGGAATAATCTGGTTGATCTAAGAGATTCCGCCAATATCTACTACCCGATCCAATTTGCAAAAAAAACAGCAACTTATTCCATCTCGCTTTACCCTAAAATTCCCAAATGATCCCATAGGGTAAATTATACACACAAAAATCGCCAAACAAAAATCCATTTATGGTATCAATAAATAGTAAAATAGATGAACTCCCTATATTTTTAAGTATCAAAAGCAAATTATAGAACTGGTTGGTGGTATACCTACCCCTCTGAAAATATGGTAGTCAGTTGGGATGACATTCCCAATATATGGAAAGTCATAAACCTCAAGTTCCAAACCACCAACCAGATATATTCTACCATTATCAACCATCATTAACCATCATTAACCATCATTAATGTTCCAAACCACTAACCAGAGAAGTTCCCATAAAATCAGCCGAAAAAACCCTCCGTATTTCGTGGGCCGCTTCCTGGGCTCCCCTGGCTGCAGGGCCCACGCCCCGCAGGTCCGGCAGCTCTCGAAGCACCTGAAACAGCAAGGAGGACGTTGAAGCAACGTTGAACCACCGCAATCATCATAAAATGTCACTATATGATACTAGTAACAATGTGATAGTAATCATAGATGATAATATGATAGTAGACTTATATACAACATCATAGTACTAACCATGAATACTATAGCATGATGATAGGAATAATCTAGACATGATGATAGTGATAATACTGTGAATACTAGCCAGTAATCATGATAGTAGAAATACATGATCATAATGGTAGTAGTATATACAGTTCTAGATCATAAAATGATGATAGTAAGAATGACCATTGATTTCAGGGGGTACTGCATTAATAAACATCATCATAATCATCTAAAATCCATTGATACATGTATGTAAATCATTTGGAATCAATATGCACATGTGTATGTACACAAAAGAGGATTGATGGTGGGTATTGTGGATGGTGACATACATTGACATCATCAGGACCATTGAAACTGACAGGGAATCGAATGCCTCCTGTCCTTACCAAGCGCAACAGGCGTCATTTTGCATCGCGTCTTTCGCAGAGTGGGCTCCCACGGTGCCGAAAGGGCCCAGGGGTTGGCGAGATCTATCACAGAAAACTGACAAACATCTTGTACTGTGCTGGAAACACAAATCACAAAGCTTGATGTGTGACCACCTATGGAGTCCTAAATCCATGTCCAATAACACCTGTTGAAAGCTCTGAAAAGCGCACTAGAACTATCAGGGATCGCGATCTGCATCGGCATCCTCTTCAAAGTGTGAGTGCTTCCTAGTCATGTTTTAAATTTGTCAACCTGCAATGTCAGAAAGACCCAAGTGAAACTCTGGAATTATCACACGGAACTGGTTGGTGGCTGCAACCCCACAAGAAAATATGATTAACTTGGCATCCTCATCGCAGGTAAGATGGAAAATACAACCATGAAACCATCAACCAGCAAACTGAGCCAAGGAAATTCCAAGAATGAAACGCATCCCAACAAGTCATGTCAAATCATCTGGCGTTGTCTGAAAATAGGATACCTATATAATCATCATTGGTTAATCATCATTATATATATTTTTTGAAATGGCTATTTGGGGATCTTTCCCATGTTCAGAGAACCCCATCTAGTTATTGTTGGTTATCAAAAATATCCCATTAGGTTCCTTTTTGATATTCCCTTATTAAATACCGGGGTACCCCATTTCATCATCAATCTGAAAAAACCACGGAGTTTTTCCATGCAGAAAAACCATCCATTGATTAAAGGGGTATCCCCATGAACCACTCCAATTCACCATAAATCCACATGTTTCTGGGTATTGTTTACATTTCACTA